ATTTTCATGTTTTGTAGGATCTAAGAGAAAGAAGGAAACTTAAGAAGATTGAGTTGAATCTGATTGTGAGAGATGGACTTCGGTCGCATGGTTCATTGATCAGATTTTGGAAGCTACTGCTTAGGATTTATGATAGTTTAATACATTACTTAGGAAATGTCTAGTAACATAGTTTTCATTTTTATGCATTGTAAGGAAAAGTTCCCAAATTTTTGTTTATTGTCAATAAAAGTGAAATTTTGGTTTATCTAGTTAGTTTACTTCATATTTTCAATGGCCTTTAATGAAAATGTCGGTTGCATTTCTATTATTAGCAATATTAATTGTGGATTTGATTCTTGTTATATTGCTTGTGGTAATGTCATAATTGACTAGGTGATAAGGAATCCTCATCACCCAAGTTTCAATTGGACAGAGACTTGGAGTCATGCAATTTGAATTGCGTGATGTATGAGAATCTTGATCGTTGCAAGATTATGACTACTTCATTGATCACATGTTTATGTGAGTCAAAGTGAAGGACTAATAGATATAGTACATGTTGATATGGACTATTTAGATCCACCGTAAATGACGATAATTTTATTTTTCATGATTTACTGATGTTTCAGTAAATATGGTTGTGTTTATACGATTAAGCATAATTTTGATGATTTTAAAAAGTTTCAAAGAGTGGCTGAATGGATATAAAGAATCTATTAGGCAGAAAGATAAGATTTTCTCCAATCTGAAGGGAAAGGAGAGTACTTTAGCATCATGTTTTATGATCATCTTGATGATTGTGGAACTATATCACAACTAATCCTCGAAGAACACCTTAGTGCAATTGATTAACTAAGAAGAGGAATTGGATATTGTTGAAATGGTTCAATCGAGAGATGAGTCATACTTCGTTTCTAATCAAGTTTTAGAGCCATGCTCTAGTAACTAAACATCATATCTTGAAACTTATTTATACTAAGTAGGTTTAAAACACATCATGAAATGTGGAGTAATAATGTTTTCTTACTCTAGCACATTTGGAATTGGAAGCTGTGATGTTTTGGTTAAAACAAATGACAAACGAAGACCAATTCTATGAAGTTTGATCTTGTCAAGAATCCATACAAACTTTTGAATATTTGTTTTAGTTTGTCAAGGAATGTTCCTTGAGAGAAAAACTTATATGTCAAAAAGTTAGTGGGAGTCTTATTGATCATGAGAGTTTTAGGAGTCAATTGAAAAATAAACCTTTTAGTTATCACTAGTACACGACCTGAGGATGATAACCTATCGTATTAAGTTGACACATTCTTGTTTCTGTGCAATGTTTATGAGTTCTATGGTTCTCATTTGACTGCAAAAGCAAAGCACGTTGGTAAGTGAAAGTACATTCATCAATATCGATGAGCTGCTAAATAACACGGATGCAACATTCCAAAATTTTCAACAAATTTTAAACTTTTCAAAACAACCCATTTATTTACAAAAGTGTTTACAAAATCATGATCTCCAAAACATGATTTAAAATCAGAGTCTCCCAAGATCTAAAACAACCCATTTATTTACAAAAGTGTTTACAAAATCATGATCTCCAAAACATGATTTAAAATCAGAGTCTCCTAAGATCTCCAAAAAATTATTTACAAAATCATGATCCCCCTTCTAACTAAGACTCGACTGTTCTGTTTGTCTTTTGTAATGATGTAAGTTTTCCCAAGTTTAAGACTATCTTTACTAGAAAATAGTTTGCATTACCTTTTATGTGAGAAAATCACTATATGAATGTAATGGGAAAATGAAAGTGTACAGTAGTGTTGTATAAAGTAACTAGTGACCACTAACTACCTTAAAACCAGTTTGTTAATAAAGGTTAAAATGTGATGAGGTTATAACCATACAAATAGATAGGTGTTTAACACGACTACCTTCAGGCGTTGAAACTGATGTGACATTTGTCACCCCTTGGCCTGCCGGCCAAACTGTAGCGAACATTCGGGATGCAGGATTGTCAGTCTCGTATATATCTATACACAAAGTCATGCTCTCCCTCCAGGAGACTCTGGTTACAAAACGTGACCTAACAATTATATTGCTAAGCCGTGAAGTAGTGGTTTCACGTTATTATTATCTTGTTCTTGTTATCATATGTTCCTTCTGTTCTTGTTTTTGTATGTTCCTCCCTGTTCTTGTTATTGTATGTTCTGAACCCATAAACTATACCTACTATATTTTACTAGTATGTTTGTTTTGAACTGTCTTTGATTTGTAGAAAAGACTCTATTATCTACTAGTTATGATTGTACTTTAAAAACAGAGTTTTATAACCAACAAAGTAACATAACTTTAAAAGAGTTTTTGAAATGATTTGATCACTTATAAAAGCATAATAAACTCCTTTAATGTGATGGTTATCACAGATAAACATTTACACAATTATCATTGTGTTTAACTTGTATTCCCCCCTTAAAAGCATTTAAAAGATTGATTATAGGGGTATGATCTCACCTTATGTGGGTGATTCAATTGAAGATTCACGTAAGGATGAGAAGTTCCACGAATGAATTCCCGAGACACAAACGAGTCCTGAATGACATATAATGGCATATATAAGCATGTAATTAATGCTTAAAACAACTAACATGCAATGAAACAACCTTAGGGACTAGGAAACACTTGTAAGGAAGTGTTACAATCACATGTGATTGATAAAAGGGAGTTCACAACCACACTAAGTTTTTACGGTTAGAACACATGATGTGTTCATGGCCAAGGGAAGTTTACAGCCACAAGAAGTGTTTACGACCATAAACACTTGAAGATGATGCATTTTGGATCTTGATTCATGCTTATAGGGTTTTTGTCTCATGAGGACACAAGAGCTTCTAATGAATAACAAGATGATAGAAGAGATACTCTCACTTTGGATGACTTTCGGTTGTTTACGGCCCAAGAACAAGTGGGTGTTCTCGGTGAAAAGATGAAGATTTGAAGATCTCGAAGGAAAAGTGATGGATTCAAGGATGTGATTCATAGGATTCATATGATCAAGAAGATTAACTAGCAAAATGGAGGAATTACTTACATCTTTGAAGAGAAATGATGGATGCCCTTGATGATACTTGAGAGAGTTTGAGTGTTCTTGGTTGAAAGAGGTGAGAAATGAAGAATAAATGAAGGAAATCTTTACTTATCATGGGAGTTCACGGCCACCAAGAGTTTACGGTTGTACTCTAGTTTGCGGCTGTAAACTCCTTGTGATGGGGTTTCCAGCTCTTTTGCAACCCAATGAACTTAAGCTGACACACACAATATTTAAGTGTACTAGGCTTAGAACACTCAAACATACCCTTAACAATGCTAAAAGATAGCAGAAACAAGTCTGATATTTGATTGGATTGATTGGCTTTATCGGATAGAAATTTTCGGGTTGTCACAACATCTCTTCCAGAAATAGGTTGCATATTCGAAAAAAACTGGAATGCTTTAGGCCTAGGTTTTGGTAAAAGAGTGCTTTAGGAATCATGCAACCATCTCAAGGCTTGATGAAACATTCTGTTAAGGTGCCTTAGCTTCATTTTATTATAGTGAAAAAATGTTTGGGAGTATTGCCCCTATACGGTAGTACTCATGTTGATGCCTTTTGTGGATGCTTGTGTATGGATCCATTGAGACTCGTTTATATAGGGGTGTTCGTTTGGATGAATCGGTTTGATCCAATCCAATCAAGTGAACCCAAATTGATTTCGGCTTTCAAAACAGAGATCCAAATAGTCCAAACTAAATACAAATCTGATCCGATCCAATAAAATTACAATTCGGTTAGATGGGTTTCTAAAATTCGATTTTTTTTAAAAGCACATATAATTAGAAAATTACCTAATTTTATAAAAGAAAAAAAATAACAAATAACTTAGTTGTGGTTTAAAGTTTATAAACAACTAATAAAAAAATATATTAAAGAATAATATTATATAGATAAAAACTTTTGAAAGAGAATACATATTAATGTTTTTTATTAGGTTAAACTTTTTGAATCTATTTGAAAAAAATAATAAATATATATATATATATATATATATATTAAAAATAAATAAATAATAAATTGTTATTCGGTTTTTTTTGGACTATTCGGTTTTTATTTTATAAATCAAAACCAATCCGGAATCCAAAGTAATAATTCGGTTTTGTTAAAAACCGATCCAAAAATCCGAATATCCGAACCAAATAGTCCATATCAATTATCTAATTGGACAATTCGGTTTAATCCAAATAATGAACAACCCTACGTTTATAGAGTGTTTATATCATGTAGACAATATAGGTTGTTGTTTTAAAATGATGTTGTTGTTATCCTATTGGTGCGTCCACAAATCGTTGAAGGTCACTTCATATTGAGAATAATGTTCGTTACTCACTAAGCTTTTTATAGTTTACTATTGTTGTTATATCCTTTGATTGTAGGTGCGGGTATTGATAGCAAGTATAAGGAGTTTACTTGATATCAAGATCTTCCTACCTAATAAAAGAATAGCAAATTTGCCACATGTCAATCAATTAGTACTTGAAATTAATTATTTGCCACTTGTCAGTCTTTGGTTTTCCTCATTAATTAAATTTCCACCAATTCACTCCTCCCTTTTACACAGATGAAACATATCAGCAAAAAATTAAATTGTAATATCTGTTGCCTAATTTATTACAATTAATATTTAATTTATTTTATAACCGTGGTTCTCACGGGTTATAACCTAGTAGACATATAAAGACTTAATTAGCACATAGATACTTTAGTAGTTTTGGCGCATTGTAATGTAACACCCAGTTGGGTTAAATTTTGGTTTGTAAACTATGTTGTTATTTGCTTCCATCTTGGTTAGCACATAATGTACATCATGTGTAAGAATCAAAAGTATTTTAAACAAAAAAAAAAAATTCGGGTGCACTTCATACTAATTTTCAGGGTGTTGAAGATTTCTCTTCCATAAATAAAAAACTCACATTTGACATACTTGTTCCCATCACCGCCCTGAAAACATTAATGAGTGGGTGATCGGTTCCAATGTCCCCGAGTAGTGAATTTGCGAAACGTAAGAACTTGAAGAGGCATGGCCAAGTTGACTCCAATTGTCATCTCTTATCTTCAATACACCATTGAAATCTGATGGCAATGGCTCCTTCTCTAAAAGGAAGTTCAAAACTTGTGACATGCTCGGTCTCAGCACGGACACAACATGTGAACAAAGCAACCCCACCTTCAAAACCAACTCCATTTCCTCAGCTTCATAGTCTTCCCTTAGTTTCGGATCAACCATCTCAAAAAGTTGCTCCTTATAACAACAATCCCACACGTAATCCACCAAAATCACTGCCTCTTCGCGCCCTTGCAACTCCACAGGTCGCCGACCACAAACCACCTCTAAACAAAATGTTCCAAAAGCAAAAGTATCGGTCGCAGTGGTGGCTTTTCCTTTGCGAGCCAATTCAGGTGCTATGTATCCCAAAGTCCCAGCCAAATGGGTGGTTTTTGCATGGGTTCCATTGTTGCCAAATCTCGCGAGCCCAAAATCGCCTAACTTACCATTCAATTCGGCGTCAAGTAACACATTGCTTGCTTTTATGTCCCGATGGATTATAACTTCACACCATTCATGCAGATATGCTAATGCTTTGGTTACATCGATAATGATTTTGACCCTTTGTTTCCATGTTAAAGTGGATTTGGGATTCGAATTGAATATGAACTTATCCAAACTAGTATTCGGCATGTAATCATATACAATAAACAATTCGCCTTTTCTTCGACAATACCCAAGAAGTCTGACCAAATTTGGGTGTCGTAACCAACCTATCGTGGCGATCTCCGCCACGAATTCCTTCATTCCTTGACTTGATGTATTCCATATCTTCTTCACTGCGACCTGAGCTCCTAAGTCCAGCAAGGTCCCTTTATAAACCTGACCAAAACCACCTTTTCCAAGCAGCTCACTTTCTTTAAACCCTTTTGTGGCGGTGAAAAGATCTTTGTAGGAAAACCTGCAAGGTCCGTATTGAACCTCCCAACTTTCAAGAGCTTCTTCGAATTCGAATTTACGTTTTCTTCTTTGGAACAAAACAATCACCAAAATTGAAATCGTCGAAAGAACCAGTAATCCACCTAAAGATAACCCAATTTCTAAAAGCCATTTTTGTCTTTTTGGTTGATTTTTTCTTGAGAGGTAAAGGTGGGATCTTTGATCTATTGATTTCTTGAGCTTTTCCATTCATTTGAAAACTCCAACCAACAATGTAAAACGTTTGAAGAAGAACCCCAGTGGCTGAAGTAAACCCAACGTACATTTCTTCGAGTAAAAAAGGTGACAGATATTTCTTCCAAGTTACAAGAGGTTTTTGAGGTTTTTTGAAGGGAAGAGGAGCTAGTGTGACATTCAAGGTCTTTTCAACACCATCGTAATCGACCCACGCTCGGATTTCTCTGGAGCTCGCAAGAGCTAGGGTTTGAAAGCCTCCATTCTTGTAATAGCCTGCTGTTGCAGCGAGCACAGATTCTATACTGTTTATATCAAGACCCACATGGTTGCCATCCATATCGTCAAGTTCGAGGTTTCTAAACGTGTCGAATTCAACGGTGACAATGTGATTTGAGGCGTTTCCGTCGTTGGTACGGTTAAAGAGTCCAAGATGCTGCGAAGAAGATGCATCCGTCACTGCTTTTGATGGAGCAATCGCAAAGGTCGTTCCGTGGAACGTGAACAGAGGGTTTTCTGGTATGATTCCAAAGACGAAAGAAGTGGAGAACGACAAAGCGTTGCTGGTGTGGGAGTTTTTGAACCGGAAAGGGCGAGAGTAGAAGGTGGACCGACGCCGAACATCTCGGTGTCGTTGCTGTGAACCACTCGCGACCATCTGGCTGAATCTCTCGTACACCATCGAGCTGCGAATCTTTGAAAAGGAAGAAGCCATTATTGTCTGTGGAAACTGTGGATGCTGCTTCTGCTCCAGGGAGCAGAAGCAGCAGTAGAAGAAGAAGGGGTGGTTGGATCTATAAAAGATAGAGTATTGCAGAGCAAGGTTACAGAAAAAGGTTGTATGGGTTCTGTATTCAACAAAGGGACACATTACAGAGCGAGTATAGAAAACTATATATATACATATTTTACAGCAGGAAATCAGGGAGTCAAATCCCATGATTTTAGGTGATGAATCGTCTAAGATATAGGTTGCTTATAACTCCATAAATCAAGGTGTAGATCGATAATTTCCATATCAGATAGATATGGGTTTAATACGCCCCCGCAAGATGGCAGAACCATCGGTGACGCCAATCTTGGGACGTGTTGCCAAAAATGGTTGTCGAGCGAGCACTTTGGTAAGTGTATCCGCGAGTTGATCACGACTACTGACATGATGTACTTTCAGATAACCACTCTCAATCTTTTCACGGACAAAATGATAGTCTAAAGCTATATGTTTCATGCGACTGTGGATTATGGGATTTGCACACAAGTATGGGGCGCCAATGTTGTCACAGTATAATACAGGGGTTTGAGCCACTGGCGAATCCAGAATTCATAGTCAAGGGTGTCCAATTTAAATTAGATGAAAAAAATTGTCAGAAATATTTGGTTATCAGGTTGACGATTTGATAAATCAAAGGTCAAAATAATATTTTACAATTGTTTATAATAGGTTCTTTTTTAAAAAATCTATAAATACATGGTTATTAGTACCAAATTAATAAAAATTGAAACTTATTCCAAGTTCTTTTATTGAAATTAAATGAAAAGAATTACCAACTAAACAAAAAACAATTGAACAATGTTACGTTTAGTGGGTGATGAAAACATAAAATAATTGAAAGATAAAAGAAATTTTACTATTTCTCATTTCTTAGCTGTCAATTATGATGCAGTAACAATACATCTATTTTCTAAACTAGGGCAATACGTATAATAGGTTTTGACGACATTTCAACTATAATTGTTTTATATCTGATTTCATTTTATATCTACACACTAAATACAAATATCAAAGAGAGACGTGTACCTTAAAGATATAGGAGGTTGGTTTACCAGAGAAAATGGAGAAGTTGGCTGCTAATGATCGTCGGTGAATGTAAATCGACACAACAGTGACCGAGATGAACAAAACCGTTTAACCAAACGACGACAAATAAGAATCAACGGAGATAGGAAGCGAGTTCACTGAGACTGTTGGTGAAAACAAAGAATGGGTGGCGGCGGGCAAACATTAAGGACATTGGCGACTTTCAAATTTCAATCACCCAAGAAATTTAAAAATTTCGATTTTTAGGTTTTTTTTTTTCTTTTGAGACTTGTTTTTATTCACAGTTTGAACGATTAAACATCGAATATGATATTTATGGAAACGATATTTTTTTCACATTAACCTCGTAAATCATGGCAAAGTATTTAGAAAACTCCAAAATCTGTTAAAATAATTATGTTTTGTTAACTATAGTTAAATTCCAAAATCATATCGTTTTTGTTTTTGGTTATCCATGGGTGTCACTTTGTGTTGGGCACAGGTGTCCATATGAAATTTCTTATGTAAACCATAAACAGAATTCAGATGCAAGGGGTGTCCATGGACACCCTTAGCAATAAGGTAGGTTCGCCTCTCGTTTGAGCCAATGTTACACCAAGTTCTGAGAGGAGATGGGTGATCGATGCATTTGCTATAGCCTTGTATTCAGCCTCTGTGGAAGAACGGGATACCAATTTTTGACGCGTTGATTTCCAAGAGATGATGTTCGGCCCAAGGTAGATGGCATATCCCGTTGTTGATCTTCCATTTTTTGATGCTCCTCCCCAATCAGAGTCACTAAAGGCAGTAACTCTTAATGGTTGTCCACGCTTCAAGACTAGGCCATGGTGAATTGTGCCCTTTAGATAACGTAGGAGTCTTTTCAAAGCTCGCATTTGAGTGTCATTTGGGGCATGCATGGACTGAGAGAGGCGATTTGTGACAAAAACTATATATGGTCGGGTTATCGCAAGATATTGTAATGCACCGATGATCTGGCGATACTTTGTTGGATCTGATGGGGCTGAGTTGTCGACTAGAGAAGTGGCAATCTGCATGGGTGTTATGACTAGTTTTGCATCAGCCATCTTGTGATTAGTTAGGATATCACGAATGTGTTTGCTCTGAGAGAGAAATAACCCATCACTGGTGGAGATAACATCCACTCCAAGAAAGTGATGAAGTTCACCAAGGTCTTTGAGTGCAAATCTGCGATTTAGCTGCAACACAAAGTCATCAATAGCACTATTATTGTTCCCGGTCAGAATGATATCATCAACATAGACAACAAAGTACATCACTATTCCGCCAGACTCAAATATGAAAAGGGAGGCATCAGATACAGATTTGCGAAAGCCATAGTTGATTAAGAATGCCTTAAGCTCAAGATACCAAGCTCGTGGTGCTTGTTTGAGCCCGTAGAGAGCTTTGCGCAACTTACATACATGATTTGGGAATTGTGGGTTGACAAAGCCTGGAGGTTGGACCATATAGACTTCTTCTTGAAGAGTGCCATTTAAGAAGGCATTATTGATGTCTAGTTGGCGTAAGGACCACTTTCGTGATAGAGCAATGCATAATAGGATGCGTATTGTGACCGGTTTTGTAACAGGGCTGAAAGTATCAGTGTAGTCAATGCCATGCCGTTGGTGAAATCCTTTAGCTACTAGACGTGCCTTGTATTTTTAAATAGATCTGTCAAGGGATCGCTTAATACGAAAGACCCACTTGCAACCGAGAGTGTCTTGGGAAGTTAGAGGTACTAAATCCTAGGTTTTGTTTTGGATGAGTGCATTAAACTCTGTAGACATAGCATCACGCCATTGAGGTATTTTAAGGGCTTGGGTGACACATGATGGTTCAAGAGTCTCTGGTAGGGGGTGAGTTGATGTTGTGTTGAGATAAATATCACTGAAGTACTTAGGATTGGGTTTTCTTTGATGAGGTTGAGGCGGGGAAGAAACCGGTGGGGATGGTGATATAGCTTGCGGGGATGGTGGAGGAGGAGTATATGTGGATTGAGGAGTGCAGGATAAATTTTCGATAGAGTGGGTGGTAGAGGTAGGGATTGGTGATAGAGGTGGTAGAGGATGGTTGGAGTTATGAGGAAGAGTGGTTTCTGGTGAGAGGGTCTGCATAGGAGACAGAGACGGAGTAGGTGTACTTGGTGACACACTAGTGGTCGAGTTGTGAGAGTCTTCCACATGGGTATAAACATCTTGAGGGGTTAGAGATGGATCAGTACTAGCATGCCTCCATGGAAATGTGTCCTCAAGAAATCTAACATGTCGGGAGATGTACAATTTACATGTGATAGGATCATAACATTTATAAGCGGACTGAGAAGTGGAGTACCCTAGGAAGATACAGGCTGTAGATTTAGGGTGGAGTTTAGAAGATGTATATGGTTTAAGCCATGGGTAACATAAACAACCAAAGATTTTGAGGCGTGTATATAAGATATGTGGCTGTTTGAACTGCATAAGACCAGAAAGTGGTTGGCAAATTTGCATGATGAAGGAGTGTAAGTGCTGTTTCCATGAGATGGCGGTGTCGTCGTTCTGAGATACCATTGTGTTCTGGAGTGTGAGGAGGTGTAGTAAGGTGTGAGATTCCGTGTGATGTGACAGTATTTTTCAAGAATGCGTATTCGATCCCCTCCATTATCTGAGTAAACGGTTAACAAGGGAAGTTGAAAACGGTGTTCAACTAACTTTTTAAATTGTAGAAAAATGATGGGAACATCAGATTTCTTTCTCAATGGGTAAATCCATGTATATCGGGAGAAATGATCGACAAAGATTACGTAATAACGATATTTGTCAATAGAGATGTCGGTGGGTCCCCAAACATCAGTATAGACAAACTCTAAAGGTTTAGTGCTTGTTAGAGAGCTGTTTGCAAATGGTAGTTTATGACTTTTATGACAATGATAAGAATGACAGATTAACGAAGAACATGAAATTTTATTATGACTAAAGTGAGAGGAGTTTAAAACAGATTGTAATATTCGAGGAGCAGGATGTCCTAGGCGTGAATGCCACTTATTTGCTAGATCTGTGGTGATAACATTGATTTGAGGTTTTCTTGAAGGCATGAAGCAGTAAAGATCATTCTTGTTTTCCCCTCGAAGTATTTGTGCCCGCGTGCGAAGATCCTTCACCAAAAAATGCCACGGAAAAAATTCCATGGAAACATTGTTAGTCTTACAAAATTTTGCAACAAAAATTAAGTTCTTGTTTAAAGAAGGAACACATAGGATATCATTCACATGAAAAAGATGAGATGGTGAGTTTAAGGTTGTGTGACCAGTATGTGTTATTTTGAGACCTGAACCATCGCCCAAAATTATTTCTTCAGGACCACCATAATCAGAGAAGGAGTGTAGGTGATCTGTTTGCCCAGTGACATGGTGAGAGGCTCCTGTATCGAAAATCCATGGATTGGATTTGTTTGAGTTCATTGTAGTGAAGTGTGCCTAAGGAGAAATGTTATTGTCTATTAGAAATCGAGACAAATGTTGACATTCTTTAGTAAAATGTCCAGCACGGTCACAAAAATTGCAAAAGGCTTGAGGATTGTAAGAGGTTCTGGGGTTGGAAGGTTAAGAATTTGGTCTTCCTTGATGCTGATTCCCTCGTCTACTGTCTTGATAGGAGTTTTGAGAGTACCTACCAGATGTCTTTCCGCCTTTATGGGTGAAATTGATGTTGGGAATGACAATAGACTCATCTTTCGTTCCTTTTGTCATGTGAATCTCGAAGTCAGTGAGTTTATTTTGAAGCTCCGAGAAAGAAATCGAGGAGTCACGAGCTTGGATGGCAGCCCCCATCTCCTTGAATTCATCTCCAATGTTGTGAAGGATATGAACAACAAGATCTTCATCATCAACAGGGTTCCCGGCTAGTGCAAGATTGTCAGCTATTTGCTTCATATCTTGAAGGTATGCTTGGATTGTTCTGTTTCCAGGAGGGTTGTCAATTAGCTTCTTTTTTAGAGAGATGGCATAAGATCTGGAGGGGTTGGCATACAAGGTTGTGAGACGTTGCCATGCTTCAAGGGCAGTTTCGGCA